TAAACAAACAAACAAATTTTGAAATTGAAAAAAATTTCCCTTTCAACTTTGAAATTTTTTTGTTTTTTTTTTTTTAATGAAAATTTTTTTTTGAAAATTTAATTAACCCTCCTCCTCCCCACAGGAATTCTCCGGTAAATTTAAATATCTCATCATTAATTTGTAATAAATTTTATATATATTTTTTGTTTAAAAAATTTTGACGCGAGATTTATTTATTGTTTTTTTTTTTTTTTGGCATAAATCGAAAGATTTTTATCCGGATGTTGTGAAAAACGAAAAAATTATTATTATTATTATTTATTTCGTTAAATAAAATGTAGATTGGTTAAATATCATACGCGATTGTTTGTAAATGTGTTTTCATTTCGCTTCGTTTTTTGTTTATTACGTAAAGCAGAAAAATATTTTTTAATTTATTTTATTTTTTATTAAAAAAATATTCTACGTTTATTAATTAATATTTCAAAATATTATGACGTTTTATATATAAATTTTTTAAAAAAAAAAAAAAAAACCATTTTCAATTAATTATGAAATGTTTTTTTTTTCTTTCTTTATTATTATTATTATTATTAATATTTTCTTTCTGGATTCCTGCTGCGATTTTGTTTTTTTTTTGTTTTGTTTTGTTTGTTTTTGATTAAATAATAAACAGATGAGGTTGACTACTTATTAATTTTTGTTTGTCTGCTTTTTTTTTCTTTTATTATTATTGCACGAACAGTTCACGGGTTTTTTTTTTGTTTTGATTCACGATGAAAAAATACAAGGAGGAAAAGGAGGGGGAGGGTAAAAGAATAGGTAGGCATAGAGTAGAATGAGAAACGATAGGAAAATTTTTTAAAATTTAAAAAACAGAAAACAATAAAACAGATGGTTTTTGCTTCAATTTTTCTTTTATTACGCTTTCCACCACCGACTGCAAAAAATTGCCGCATCCTGTTTTAAGGGGGTTAATATTTTTTGTTGCTGCTCATTTGATTTATAACGCATAATTTTTTTTTTTTTTTAGTTCTAAAAAAAAGGAAAATTTTTTTTTTTTTTAAATGTTAAAGCTGACGACTACGAGAACGACGACGACGGGGAACGACGAGGACGGACAATAGTAGGGAAGCACATAAGTGACGTGGCACGTTCGTGTGACGTCATCATACGTTTTCAAATTTAAATTTTTAATTATGAAACATGGGAGATTTTTAATTAAGATCAAACTTTTTTTTTTCTCTCCCGCTCGCGCTCCGTTTCTCTTTTGATTATTATTATTATTATTTTGAAACAAGCGTAAAATATGTCGGATATGTAATGTAAAAAAAAAAATAATAATAATAATAATTTTTTTTAAAAATTTTAATTAACTTATTTAACGTTGGTTCGTTAAAAAAAAGGGTTTGAATCGTTTAACCAAAAAAAAAAAAAGTTTTTATTGCCATTTTATTTATTTATTTATTTTTTTTGTTTCTCCCCATTTTAATAACATAATTTTCTTTTCTTTTTAATTTTAAACTAAAAAAAATCTATTAATACATAATTTTTTATTTAATAAATTTAAAAAATAAAAAAAAGGAAAAGAAAAAGAAAAATTAAAAAAAAAAAACATTTCGTCGCGGATGAATTTTTCCTACAAAGAACATTCGAGATTTTTTTATATTTCTTTTAATTAAAAAAATTTATTTATTAAAAAAAATAAAATATGGAGGAAAAAAGGAACGGCGTCATTTTTTTGTTTATTCTTTATCGTTTGTTTTATATTTAAAAAAATCCGTGAGTACAAACACCACTTACAATACATTATCGTAAATTTTTTTTGTTGTTGTTGTTTTTGTTCATTTTAGGTTAATTATCGAAAACATAATGTCTACATTAACGTAATGTTTTGTGTGTTTGTGTGAGTGTATTTATTTTGTTTTGTTTAATTTCAAGTCACATATCAGGTATTAAAAAAAAAAAAAAAAATCTCGTGTTTGTAAATAAAATTCATTCAATTCTGTTTTGTTTTGTTTAAACTTTTAAAATGGGTTAATGCTATGGTTAACTTTTAAAAGCGTACACATTTAACTCTTTTTTAATTCATTTTCCTTGGAGAGATTAATGCGTTTGACAATTTTAAAAAAAAAACAAAAATTTTTTATTTGTATTTTTCAAATGACACGAAAAACAAAATTA